TTTCCTGTTTGCAAACCTAAACAAAGGGTACATAAATGTTCCCATAGTGTTGAAACTGTTCCTTATAGTACGGGGGCTGGGGAGATGGCTCAGCAGTTAAGAATACTGGCTGATCTTCCAGAAGACCAGCACCCACATGGCAGCTCACAACTGTTCTAGACACCCTCACACAGACATAACTAGTTCTAGACACCCTCACACAGACATACATACAAGCAAAATACAATACATATAGAATAAAAATAATAAAATATGAAGAAAAAAGAAAAATTCTCAGAATAAAAAGGGGAAGAAAAGAAATGCTAATTCAAATAGCCACACTAACATACTAAAAGAAAAAATTGGAGGGCTGGAGAGATGGCCTAGTAGTTAAGAATGCTTGCTGCTCTTCCAGAGGACCTGAGTTCAATTCCCAGGACCTATATCGGGCAGCACACAAACACCTTTAACTCTAGCTCCAGGGAATCCAATGCACTCGTACCAGCATACACATGGCACAGATATACAAACATATACATAAATATAAAATTAAGTAATTAAAAAATAAAATGAAGAAAGTTTCTTTAAGTAACTAAAAGCAAGGATCATAATAGTCTCATTTCATTGTCATCTATAAGAAATTAATACTATCTGTGGAGGTTTGACTTAGAAAGTCCTCCATAGGCACATATATTTAAGCACTTGGTCCCTGGCCAGTGGTGACATTTAGGGATATTTTGGAGGTGTGGCTTTGTTGGAGGAGGTATTTGTGGAGGCCAGCTTTGAGAGTTTAAAGACTCCCAGCATTTTCTGTTGCTCTCTCAGCTTACTGCTTGCAGGTCAAGATATGAGGCTGGAGAGATGACTCAGAAGTTCAGAGCACATTCTACTCTTGGAGAGGACTTGAGTTTGGTTCCCAGCACCCACATCAGGTCTCTCACAACTGCTTGTGACCCCAGCTCCAGGGGATCTGATGACCTTTCCTGGCCTCTGCAGGCAACTGTAACTTACAAACAAACCCACACACATAAGCACATACTTGAAATTAAATTAACAATTTTCTTATAAAATGTGTTTTTTATAATTATTATTAAAAATTTCCACCTCCTCCCTTCCTCCCATTTCCCTCCCCCATCCCCCCCACTTCCCCTACCCCTCCCTCTCCAGTCCAAATTAACAATTTTTTTTAAAAAGAAGGTGTGAGCTCTTAGCATCCAGTTCCTGCTGTCATACTTACTGTTTGCTACCATGTTTCCCTGCTATGACGGACTCCTTCCCTCTGATCTATAAACCAAGTAAACCCTTCCTTCTGTAAATTGCCTTGGTCATGGTGTTTTATCACAGTAAGAAAAGTAATACATAGGTACCTGATTGTTAAAATGCATGGAATTCCAAAGCTTTGTCTTGGTGTTGCAGAACATAGGCATAGTGGTGGACGTAACAAATATTTTATGTCTGCTTAAATGCTTTCGTCTTTCTAGTTAATGAATCCTTCTTTCCTACCAATCACTGCTGTTCTAATTCTGATTTAATCCTGAGTGTTAAAATTTCTCTGTCATCATCCCTTCTGAATCTGGATCAATACTCCCAAGATCTTTTTTTGTTTTGTGTTTAAGGTTTACTTACCCCTTTTTGTATATGTGTGTGTACCTGCATGAGTCTATGTGCACCTCGTGTGCAAGAGCTCTCGAAGGCCAGAAGTGTGTCAGTTCTCCTTAGGATTGGAATTACGAGCTGCCATGTGAGTGCTGGGCACCAGACCCTCTCCTTTGCGAGAACAGCCAGTGCTCTTAACCATTGAGTCATCTCTTTAGCCTCCATCCCCAAATGTTTAAGTGTCTGAGCCGTCTTAGATTCTTTGAGCCCAACTCAGCTGCAAGTGTTGGAGAGAGGGGGTCTGCAGTGTACTGTATTAGCATCTGAGTGTGCAGCTGGGACTTTTTATTTGATCTTTTTCAGTCTCCTTTGCCAGCCCTCCCCAGTCTCTTCCTTGTGCTAGGATAATAAGGCTATACCAAGATTCAGTCACTCTTGCCCTCCTGAGAGTCGGTGTACTTTTCATGTTAGTTAAGATCAGGTAATTTCTTTATCGCTTAAGAAGTGAAAGAAATGCCCTTCAACGGAAGAATGGATGAAGAAAGTATGGAATATATACATATTAGAGTATTACTCAGCAGTAAAAAACAAGGACTTCTTGAATTTTGCATACAAATGGATGGAAATAGAAAACACTATCCTGAGTGAGGTAAGCCAGACCCAAAAAGAGGAACATGGGATGTACTCACTCATATTTGGTTTCTAGCCATAAATAAAGGACATTGAGCCTATAATTCATGTTCCTAGAGAAGCTAAATAAGGTGAATCCAAAGACAAACACATAGGCATCCTCAGGAATATTAACCTTCATCAGGCGATGAAAGGAGACAGAGACAGAGACCCACACGGGAGCACCAGACAGAAATCTCAAGGTCCAAATCAGGAGCAGAAGGAGACGGAGCACGAGCAAGGAACTCAGGACCACGAGGGGTGCACCCACACACTAAGACAATGGGGATGTTCTATTGGGATCTCACCAAGGCCAGCTGGCCTAGGTCTGAAAAAGCATGGGATAAATCCGGACTAGCTGAACATAGCGGACAATGAGGAATACTGAGAATTCAAGAACAATTGCAGTGGGTTTTTGATCCTACTGCACGTACTGGCTTTGTGGGAGCCTAGGCAGTTTGAATGCTCACCTTACGAGACCTGGATAGAGGTGGGCAGTCCTTGGGCTTCCCACAGGTCAGGGAAGGAACCCTGATTGCTCTTCGAGCAGATGAGGGGGGGGGACTTGGTCGGGGGAGGGGGAGGGAAATGGGAAGCGGTTGTGGGGACGAGGCAGAAATCCTTAATAAATAAATAAATTTAAAAAATAATAATAAAAAAAAAGAAGTGAAAGAAAAATAAAAATTAAAAGAAGTGAAAGAAAACCTTGATCATGGTATGTGCTCAGTGAATATTGACTGGTGTTGAACTAATTAAATGTTTCTTTCCCAAACAGCTCTTCTATTGAGAATAGTTGACTCGTCCATTTAGTGTTTGCTTAAATGAAATTACTGGACTGGTTCCTTTGGCTAACTGTGCAGCTCTCCCCACTACTTTTCCAGCTTGAGTCTTCAAGAGGGAGCCTCAGAACTGATTTCTAGAACCAATTGTACTTGGTGTGATTATAAAGCAATGAGACTGATTGTCATATGTCGTTTGTGGGATCCGTCTCAGTTACTTTATAGCCATACCTGGTATTCTACACCACAGATTATGCCTGTTGATCAACATTGTAAAAGCACAAACTTAAGGTTTTTAGATGTAAATTTAAACTGGTTTAGCATTATTTTATGATTTTTTTCTTTAGCTTATTGACCAGAGGCAGGTATTAATAATGCTAACTTTAATTTTGCAGTTTTGTTTTTGTTTATAGTTTTTAAGTAAAAAAACTGATAAACTACTGCTCTGATAAAATGACTAAAACAGTTTTAAATACAATGCTACATGAATATATATTCCATTGTACCATATTTTTCTTAAAACTTTTGTTATTGAGTTTCTGTTACATATCATCTTGACTGCTAAACAAAACCAAATAAATGTCTTTAATATTTATCAAAGGAGCCTTCAAAAGGTCAAATTTTGATGTACTCTTCTTGTTTTTAGGGGGTATTTTCTATTTAGATATATAACCTTTCTTCGTATTCATGTAAGTGGTTATAATTTTCTTTTTCCCCAAAATAAATGGGAAGCCTAGCCTCTAGTCTTTTTCTGGGTTCTTTGGAAAAGATATATTATAAAAGTTGCATGTTGTGGCCAGGCAGTGGTGGTGCACACCTTTAATCCCAGTACTCTGGAAGCAGAGGCAGGAGGATCTCTTGAGTTTTGAGGCCAACCTGGTCTACAGAGTTCCAGGACAGCCAAAATTGTTGTACAAAGAAACCCTGTCTTGGGGTGGCGGGAGGGAGTTGCATGTTGTGACACTTAACTTTCCCTTAGGAAAGGACAGCTGCTGATAGTTGCATGTGGTAGAGAAGCTTCCCCTGCCTCCTTAAATTAAGTAGAAAACTATTCCCTACCAGAGGACAAAAGGGATAGTGACCTGTGCTGTCCTCAGGGGAGTGGTTGCTTGCTTTGACTTATTTCTGCCCCCTGGAACCATATAAGAATAGGGCTTAGAAAAACAACTGAACCATCCTTGTAGTTAATTTACAGAATTTGTGCCTGTGGGCAGACCTCTGAACAGCTATTAGAAGCTGAAGCTTTGGGTTCCATTCTGATGCTAGTCCAGAAATTTGAAACTTGGACCTGCCTAGAGGACTTGAGTGCACTGCACATGGTTAGATGTGATGGGACTGACACAGAATATTCAAGTTTGAGGCCAGCCTGGGCAACATGAGATGCTGTCTCCAAATTGTGTAGGGAAAATCTTGAGTTTGAGATCCAGACGGGCTGTGGAAAGAGCTTGATTACAGTTAGTTCTAGACAGAAAACCAAGGTTAGTTTCAAATGTTACCAATAAAAGATGTTGCCATTTGGTACTGCAAGTCACTGTAGCCAAGCATGTGTCCTAAGACATGTGCTTCTATATATTCCCTGTTGTACACACAGTTGTTGCTCAGCAATGCGTGTGAGAAGCACCTATCTATGCCATAAGTGACAGCACTTTTCTCAAGATCTTTTATACTGTAACCCATCCTGATTAAGTCACAGGTGGCTGGCTTCATGTTTCTCAGTGCAGCTGTAAGGCAGGTCATGAATTAGTAAGACTGCAGTGTTTTATGCCTTACCTACTTGTCTGGAGTACTGCATATGTTCCCACTCCTGTGTGTGTGCACACCTGCAGCCTCATGTCAGCTGAACAGTGGAGTCTGCAAACCTTTCTCTTTAGCAGAAGTTGTGTTAATTTCTCCAGGGAACATATATGTGTATTAATTTGATGAAATTCTATGAATTTCAGCTGTCACTTGAGTCTGTGTGTTTGTTTTACATTACAGGCACGGGAGATATTATTGCTGTCATGATAACAGAATTGAGGGGTAAAGATATTTTGAGTTATCTGGAGAAAAACATCTCTGTACAAATGACAATAGCTGTTGGAACTCGAATGCCGCCAAAGAACTTCAGCCGTGGCTCTCTAGTCTTCGTGTCAATATCCTTTATTGTTTTGATGATTATTTCTTCAGCGTGGCTCATATTCTACTTCATTCAGAAGATCAGGTACACAAATGCTCGCGACAGGAACCAGGTGAGCTAACCAGTACTCTAAACAGCCATAATCCATGAGGATCCTGTGATCATACATCTTAAATGCTTCTTTATATAATGTATTTAAAACAAAACCAATAACAAAAACATGTCAGGGCGGTGGTACACACCTGTAATCCCTGCCCTCGGGAGTTGGAGGCCATCTGGGCCATACAGTGAGTTTCAGGCCAGTCTGAGCTAAACTCCATTTCAGTTTTTAAAAAAAAGAAGAAGAAAGTGTTGTTTCACATAAACACAGTATAGTTATCAAAGTCAGAAAAATGAACTTTTTTAGATACATTTCTTAACCAATAGGCTCTCTCAGATTCTCCAGCACTGCTCAGATATATCCTTGATAGCAAAGAAATCCCAGGTTGCTTAGGTAAGAATATAGGTTACATTTGATTGTGCTGTCTTTTTACTCTGTTTCCTGATGCTGACATCTCAGAAGAGCACAGGTCAGGTGTTTTGTACTTGTCAGTGTGGCGTGTTTCATGGTTCCATCCAGGTTGTCTGCATTTTGTCAGTATCACCAACTCTTTTTAAGCTTTAGGGTAATGGTAGCCTTGCTCTGATCTGTCAGAAGCAGTAGAGACCCACTTCCCCAGATCTTCTAACTGTAGGAAGATCACAGCACAGGTACACTGCTGTTACTGAGTCCACTAATGTCTGCAGAGCTGTCCTGTTTGGTTTGTGTTCATGCATGTGCATGTGTGTGCTTCTGCTCAACTCTGAGTCCACTAATGTCTGCAGAGCTGTCCTGTTTGGTTTGTGTTCATGCATGTGCATGTGTGTGCTTCTGTTCAACTCCATCACATGCAGATTCATGAACTCACCATGGTCAAGCCATAAGGAAAAGGTCATCTGCTGTCTCATAGCCAGAGACTCCTTCTTCCCCTAACCCTTCACCACCACTAACCTGTTCCCCATCTCTGGTGTTGTCATTTCAAGAATGTTCTATAGCCAGGTGGTAGTGGTGTGTGCACTTGGGAAATGCAGTTGGGAGACAGAGGCAGATGGATTTTGGTAAGTTCAAGGCCTGCCTGGTCTACAGAGAACTAGTTCCGGGACAACTAGAGCTATGCAAAGAAACCCTGTCTTGAAAAAAAAATGATGTATAGACTTTACCTGGAGAGCTGGGTTTCTTCATCTTCACTCAGCATAGTTCCAGGAAGTCCTTACAAACTGTATACATCAGTAGCTCTTTTTATTGGTGAGTAGTATTCAATGGTGTGGATGTACTATAATTTACTTAGCCATTCACTTATTGAAGGATACCTGAATTATTTTCAGTTTGGGGGTATAATAAAATAGCTATGAATATTCACGAACAGGTTTCTATCTGACCATGAGTTTTCATTTCCTTGTAATAAAAAGAACTTCTGAACACAATGTAAGTAAATGTCTAGTTTATGTTTTTTTCTTGTTGTTTTTTTTTTTCAAGACAGGGTTTCTCTGTGTAGCCCTGGCTCTCCTGAAACTCACTCTGTAGACCAGGCTGGCCTCCAACTCACAGAGATCCATCTGCCTCTGCCTTCCGAGTTCTGGGATTAAAGATGTGTACCGGTATTTTAAAAAAAAAAAAAAATGTCCTTTTCCAAAGTGGCTTCATTATTTTACATTCCTGCCGGTAGTGTGTGACTAGTTCAGTTCCTCCATGTCTAGACAACATTGGTATACGTTTCTTTTGCTATTATAATGTGCATTTCTCCAGTGGTCATAATTGAACATCTTGCATGCATGCATATGTGTTCTGTGTAAGCATATCGTGCATATGTGTTGAAGCCAGAGGTCAGAATTGAGTATGCTGGGGCTACAGATGTGTCCCACTGCACCCAGGCTTTGGATGCTGAAATGCAGATGCAGGTCCTCATGCTTATATAGCCGACACTATGCTGGCAGCCATTACCCCGCCCTGATCATTTTTTCAAGTGCTTCATTGAAATGGCCACTTAAGTCTCCTGCCCATTTTTTTCTGAATTGTATTTTACTGTTGAGGATTTTTTAAATATATTTTATTTATTTATGTTTTATATGTTTGCCCAGATGCATGTCTGTGCACCACATGGATACAATTGCCCAAGGAAACCAGAGAGGGTGTCAGATTCTCTGGGACTGGTGTTACAGGCAGTTGTGAACCACATGGGTGCTAGGAATCAAACTGAAGTTTTCTGCAAGAGCAACTAGTGTTCTTAACCACCGAGTCATCTCCAGCTCCTTGCTGTTGAGTTTTTAAACTCTCTGTAGTGTAGATATGGTATTGCTTTGACAGTCATGTGCCTTGCAGGTGCTTTTTTCCTCATCTGCAGTTTGTCTATTCAGCTACTTAACAGTCTTGGAAAACAAATGGTTGGGGTTTTTTTGATAAGGTTTAATTTGGAATTTCCCCTTGAAATTGTATGTAAAAAGCTCTTTGTTTCACAAAGATTTCCTCCTTTCCTCTAAATGTTTAAAGTATTTATTACATTTTAGAGTTAAGTCTACAGTTCATTTGTCTGAAGCAGTTTCTTTTCTTTTCTTTTTTTTTTTTTTTTTTTCGAGACAGGGTTTCTTTGTGGCTTTGGAGCCTGTCCTGGAACTAGCTCTGTAGACCAGACTGGTCTCGAACTCTCGAACTCACAGAGATCCGCCTGCCTCTGCCTCCCGAGTGCTGGGATTAATGGGCGTGCGCCACCATCGCCCGGCTCAGCAGTTTCTTTTCTAATGCAAGTATCTTGTGCTATAAATTTCTGACAGCACTTCTAATGAAGTACTAAAGCTATAGTTCTGCCTCATAGGTTCTGACATGTGCTTACATTCAGTTCTGTATTCTCCTGCCTCCAGCCCCAAGTGCTGGGATGGCAGACATACACCAGCACACCCAGCCTTCTTCTTCAACCTGTGTATTAAGAAGTGCTTCCTTTCCGGTTGTTTAGGGAATCTGCTGTGAAGTAGTGCTAATGATACCTATTTGCTTACGTTATGATCAGAGAAATACTGTTTTCGGTTCTTTTCTAATTCTTAGACTTGGTTATGACCCTAGGTATGGTTAATCATGGTGCTTAATGTATGCAGAAGAACATGTGTGTTCTGCCGTTGGTGGCATGTACTAGAGGTATGTGAGGTCAGTGCACTCAACTTGCTCCTTTGAGCAGCTAGGTCTGGGAGATCACCTTCTCTCACTGAGTTCAAGAAGGGCCATGTTGGGGGGAAGAGTAATGTTTCCTCTTTGACATTTGACTAAAATAGAGCAGACAATGCTCTGGAGGTTTTCTGACATAAGTCCCCTCTTTTCCAGATATTTTTGTTAGGACAAACAGGTTTTCTCTTGACTTAGCCTATTCTGGGCTGAAGACTTCTGCAGCACATTGTTGGGAATCGGTGGGGCTGGGTAGTAAGGGAGCCCAGAGAGCTCAGCACCCAGTGTTCATTTAAGGCCAAGGCTCTTGGCAGCCCTTCCTCTTTCCTTGGAATGATAGTATATGCTAGCTTTAAAAAAAAATTGAAGATGAGTTTGTTATTATTAAATACCTTATGAATTATAAATATCATTAAATGCCACATGGAACACCAAAAGGTAAGATAATCAGGAGTTCTTCTGAAAACATTTTAATCAGGAAGCCAATGATAATGTGAGAGCTGAATGGGGCATATCCAGAGGGCTTTGAGATGCTCGTGGTTGTCCTAGGAGCCTGGTGTCTGATGATCAGGCAATTAGCACCCTCGGTGGGGCCTGTATGTAATGAAGGAGTAAAAAATTCACCATCTGGCACTGGCCACAAAGGGCGCTTGTTTCTTAGCATTTGTTGCAGTTCCCTTCATAGCGTCCCTCTCCAGACGATACTTGAGTGGAAAGTGATGTTCTGACCTTTTTTCCTCCTTCCATTTTCCCTGAGGTTGAGAAATGCTTGATGAAATTTTTATGTGGCTTAAAAAGCTTAGCTTATTAAAGTTTAATGTGAAGGTGGCAGCAGCTCAATTGGTTAGAACCTTAGGCTATTAAAAAGAAGAAGAAGAAAAAAAAGACTGGGGAGAAAAAGAAGCCTGAACTATTAGCAAGAAAAAAAAAAGCTGAGTTGAAAGGAAAACTGAAATGTTCCTTACAAAATTCTATCTTGATGCTAGTTCACCTTTGAATTTACTGCTAAGTCTGTAGTGTGTCTTCCTGAAAAACTGTCAAAATACTTAAAATTTTGTGTGACTAATAATAACAAGGTGGATTGTTTACTGTGTGTATGTACACATACACAGACACACACACACCCTACTACATGCATGTGGAGGTCAGAAGACAACTGTCAGGAGTTGGTTCTCTCCTCTACCATGGGTTCTAGGGATTGAACTCATATTGTCGGGCTTGTACAACAGGCACCTTTATCCACTAACTCACCAGCCCAGCTTAGACCTTTGAAACATTGAGTGGGAGTTATTTTACACAAAACAGTAATGTCTGGTACTATATTGAAAAAGTTCATGACGATTTTGAGAGTTGTAAAATTTTCCTTTTTGTTTTGTTTTTTGTTTTTCAAGACCAGGCTGGCCTCAAACACTCAGAGAGATCCACCTGCCTCTGCCTCCCGAGTGCTGGGATTAAAAGCGTGTGCACCACTATCGTCCAGTGAGAGTTGTAAATTTTTAAAACAATTCCATGATTAATATTGTACCCTTGTATTAAACCTTTAGTCACTGTGACAGAATAGCTGATACAAACAAGGGAAGAGGAAGATTTTTGGCTCACTGCTTCAGAGGGTTGGGTTTTTTTGTTTTGTTTTGTTTGTTTTGTTTTTTATTTTTGAGACAGGGTTTCTCCGTAGCTTTTGGTTCCTGTCCTGGAACTAGCTCTTGTAGACCAGGCTGGCCTCGAACTCACAGAGATCCCCCTGCCTCTGCCTCCTGAGTGCTGGGATTAAAGGCATTTGCCACCACTGCCCGGCTTGCTTCAGAGGTTTAAGTCCATGGTCACCAGGTTCCATGTCCTTTAGGCCTATGACAGAGAAGAAACATGGAGGAAGGACCTGGCAG